GGGGGGACTTCAGCTGGAAGAAAAACTTCCAAGAAATAACTTCCAAGAAAAACTACCAATGTATTCAATATTATTTTCTGCCTATAGAAAGCATCTAAATTTGGGTTCTTTTGATTGACGTGTCGATTGCAGCCAGGGCCAAAGGAGCTTCCAATGCAGTGCTTTATTAAGAGAAATAAGAAGAACTCTACATTCTATCTTTATCTCACCTTGAACCAAAGTAAGATGATGTTCTTAGAAAACTTAAACATTTTCTAGATTTAGTTGCAGATAACCCCCTCATCTATACCTTTACTAGCACTTAACGTGTCTTAACTCATTTATTATTCACTTAGCACCCCTCAATTCTCGAGGAAGGAAACGAGTGTTATCTACAATTGTCCTTCTAAAACTCGTCCAGGACTCCAATGGCTTGCTTATACATGAGTTGAAGGATGCTAAGTGCTAATAAGGGAGGTTATTTGCAATTTGACCTATTTACTATGATTCATTTTCTTGTGCCAAAGTTCCCGTCTTTGGTTATTTGTTTGTTTTAATAATTTATCGCGGCTGTTGGGTGGAGCGAGTTTGCTTTTGAATAGTTCTAGGAGGAGCAGGTCCTGGTTTCTCACCCACACTTTTGGGAAAACAAAACTTGGACTTTTGTCTCTTGACTATTATAATCGAGTAAGTTGAGCGATAGAATGAGTCAAAATTTGATAGTTTCTATGATTTGAATGAAGTATTTGAGTATATCTCTTGACTTTTATAATCAAGTTAGTTGAGCAATAGGAGGAGTTAAAAATTGATAGTGTCTGAGATCTGCATGAAGTTTTGAGTTTGTAGGAGTGCACACCAAAAATACTATTAGCACTGTCATTGTCATGGTATAAATTCACATAATTACCTCAATTGATGCACTCAAGGATGGAAATGTCTTCTCTTGAAAAGTAATTTTTGGCAGTAATTTGAATATGTTGTGGAGTTTTCTCCTTTATGACATTGTAGGTCTTCTATCAGTTAGGATGAAATTTCAAATCAGGCGTTATGCTTAACTGTTCAACTAGAGATTTAATAGTTAATACGTAAGATCTCATAACTCATTGAGCATCCTGTTATCATAAATGCATAAACATCAGCTATGTAATTGAATAACTTGTGTTTACCTCTTATAAACCTACCCAAACGCCTTAAGGATTATTTGTGAAAGTTTTTGGCCTCATTCACAAAGCAAGTAGAAACTATTTTGTCATTTTATTGTTTAGATATTTTGTTATTTTAATTCTTTGCATGTTGTTTGCACCCTAAGTGCTCAGAGGCTAATGCAAATCATAGAAGTTTACATGTTTTTTTATGACAGTAGAAACTTCCAGCGTTTTTCCAATTGGCTTTTTCTCAATAGGATAGTTCATAAGCTTGTATCCATGTGCAGGAGCTTAAATTGCATGACCTATACGACAGACTTGCTATATTTTACTATTGGCCAACTAGCCTTATTTGAGACCACTCTGTTAATCATAGTTTTCTATGGGCGATAGTTTCCCTGTCCTGGACATGATTTTGTTATGAATTCATATGTGATTCTTTCATTGGATAAAGTCTCATATACCCCTTACATTCATTCTAACTGCTACACCTCTGATGTGCAAGTGGAAAGCCTTCCCCTTTGACCCATTTTCCATGCAACTTCTGAGTCTGCCTTTTTTTTGGGGGAAGAACTTTTGCAGTATGGAATTGTGCTGCTTGGCTAAAAACAAATCTGTAGGAGTTGGTTTGCAAGTTTGCTTTGTACAATGATGTTTTCTGATTCCCTCATTCTCTGGCTACTGTTATGTTTCTAATCTTATTGCAGATCTGATTTCGTGGGCAATAAGTTCACAATATACGACAGCCGCCCACCTTTCACTAGCGCAAAAGCATCAAGCAGTCGGAGGAGCCGACGCTTCACCAGCAAGCAAATCAGCCCACAATCTTCGGCTGGTAATTTCAAGATTGGTTATGCATACAAATTCAACCTTCTCAAATCTTGAAGACCAAGAAGAATGTTTTGCAGATTACAATGCCCTCCAACCGAAGAATCCACCAAAGGAGAAGAATCATCTCAACCTCTTGTCTGTGGTATTGAGGAACAAAACTCCTCGATGGCATGAGCATCTTCAATGCTGGTGCTTGAATTTTCACGGGAGGGTAACCGTTGCTTCTGTGAAGAATTTTTAGCTTGTTGCAGCTTCGAATCCATGTCAAGTGAATGGGGTTAGAGAAGATGAGACAATGCTGCTCCAATTTGGGAAAGTTGAAGATGATATGTTCACAATGGACTATAGGCAACCACTCGGCTTTTCAGGCTTTTGCCATTTGCCTCACTAGCTTTGGTACAAAGTGTTCATGTGAATAGAAATGCTTAGCTCATAATTTAATGTTGCGGTTATGTTGGTGGACATAAATTGGGCAAGCGTGTTGTATATTTTCGATGTATGAACGTTGTTGCTTTTGGACCAACTAGGGATATG